AGCAAAAACATGCGGTTGTTGGCACAGTATGAAGTACCACGAATCAGCGAAAATGTGCATCAGTGAGTCAGTCAGTTAAGTGCCATGCGTGATACACACGTAGGAGATCATATATCTTTCGATAAATGACTGAGAAGGCAGATTTTTTTTTCTCGCAGTAGGTTGACATTTCTATCTGCGGTATATCAGTTGCCATCCAAAGCTATAGAACCCGGTCTGTCCTGCTATTTACCCATAGCTGGAGCGTGTGAAAAAGAAGAGGATTCATAACTTTTCCAAGTGTATTAGCACGTAAGTGAATATAATGGATTCGACTGGAATTTGAACTCGCATCAAGGAATAGAACGCTTTAAAACGGGACAGACACATGTAACGGTCGAAAGCCTATCTGATCGCTTATCAACCTCGCGCATGGAAGGGTACATTTAGAGCATTGCTTCCCAACTTTTTTAACCTTGCGTAACACTCAAAATAAATTACATGTCTCCAGGAACCTCTGCGCAAAAACAAAATTATATACCATATCTTTCTCATTTTATTTTCATCGTAGTTCACGTGGTAAATATCATAATACATATATTTTTGAATAACTGGTGTAAGGAAGAAATAATATTTCTTTGTTAAATTTTTGGTAATGCTAAATAAAATTCATAAGTAACTTTAAGTACAGTTCCCGTTCGCTGAGGGGGCAATGACTGGTGAAATTGGTTTCACACTGGCGCTGTACAGACATCACTAAATATATTACCAATGATTGTTATATCTTTTTTAATAACAGAATAGGTTAGATAGGATGTTGTCTATATTAAAATATTACAATAACCAAGAATATATTGTGGGCGTTTAGTAATATTACGTATATGAGATTAAATAAAATTCAAAAGTCTATTAGGTTATCTCACCTGTTCTTGGGGAACACTTGGGGACCTTTTGCGGAAACTTAAGGTTCCGGGGTACCCCGGTTGAGAAACGCTGATCTAGAGGGTGGCTGCCTTGATCATGGAAGACCAACGAATCACGTTATCGCAATTGGTGGAAATTGTGGACTCCAGGTCTGGATCTGCACAATCCATAGTACATTATGACTCGGGGCACCTGAAAGTTTGCGTTGAGTTTCCAAAGAAGCAAGTGCTGCAGCCATGGCTACATGATCCAACGGAAAGCTTCTCTTCAAAAGTGATGAAGAATCTCTATCGATATCAGAATGGGACTATGTCAAAAAATTACATCGGAAATTGTTCTTCATCAGTGAAATAAAAATGCTGTATGAAAATTGCATTTTCTTTAACTTTCGTGTATATATATATATATATATATATATATATATGTGTGTGTGAAAAGTGTATATAAATATAAATAAATATATGCATGTATAATTATTTATATATTATATGCGCGGTACTTACATACATATGTCATATCCGAAACTGCCCACATATGTTTAGATATGTATGAGTCCCGACGGACGACCAAGTATGTATATGTGTCTGCATATATGTATATGTGTCTGCATACATCGATGTTTGCGTTCGTACGATGAATGACAAAACGACGAAGTTTCCCCACCACTTCCACAATAACACGAATACACGCAATCTACATAAACCCACATTTTTTAAAACATTAATCAGTTTGTCTGACGATCGCTAAAGCGTGAAACCCAGGGTCACAAACTCACATCTATTCAACCATATATATATATATATATATATATATATATATATATATATATATATATATATATATATATATATATATATATCCTGAGGTCTATTGTCTGCTTTGTCTGTGGCATTTATTCACACCGACTGAGTGTATCAATAGTTCAGAAAAGTGTGGATGGTTCAGCACAAGCCTTCACCACTTTAATCAAATCACTTGTGTGTGTTTTCTGGTGGTTTACCTTGATTCGTTCATTCTTTTCCATACAGTTCACTTGCAAAGTCCGCTGAGAAAGAGAGAGTGTGAAGGCGACTGGGTCAGGTAAAAGATATTACTGGAAGGGTCTAGCTGGAGCTATACACAGTAGCAGACCGATGGGTGATGGCCGTTCTTTCACAAACCCATGTCAATATACCTCATAACACACTCGAACGCTTAGCTTTGGCGAGGGTAGAGTGGAGATCAACGTGTTTTAGTGGACTCAGCAGTTTTCATTTTGCTTTTCTGAATCGTCTTCAAGAAGCGAGAGCAAGATCTAAAAGATCAGCCAATCTAACAGTGATGCTCACTCTTGTTCCATTTGTGGCTTCCTTTGTAAATCACTAGCGGTTCATAAGTGCCACTTAAGATAATCGCACAAAATTTCATAACTGAACCTGTTAAGTTGTCAGATCCTCATACGTCGATACCGACGGGAGAGTCTATCATATACATATATATCAGCAGTATAAACCACAGCTGGGCTCTGTGGGTGTTAAACAAACACAAATGTGCCTGAGTGAGAGTCTGTCATAGGGATTGGTTAGCCGTCCCAGTAGACAAGTATCCTCGAATACGAATGGCCAGCCATTATCTATCTATCTATCTATCTATCTATCTATCTGTATAATACAAGTAAAAGATTTGTCACAACTGATTCACGTTACATTTCGTAGATGGACCAGACCTACCGCTCGTCAGTGGATATCAACCATTGACTTCTTATATTCGATTTTTCTTCTAATTTATATATATATATATATATATATATATATATATATATATATATATATATATATATGTTCACATACTCATATACATATCTTCAAGGGGCTATTATTTCGTTCTTCGGTTTGGTGGTATCATAAGTATTAATTGTAGAAGGTTAATTTTATGATTAAATTGATTTATTATTGTTAGAAATTATGTGCACATGTCTCTCTATATATACACTTATGTATACGCACCCGTGCAAATGTATGCACGCACGTATATATGCATACATACGTACACATATATACACATAGACGTGCCTACACGGGGTACATGTACACTTATATCTGTGCTTTGTTATTAATAAACTTGTGCTTAAATGAAGTTATTTCTTTATTTTTATTTTAAATGTATTAATTATAGTTGGGTGGGTTAATAGAATTTGTTGTTTGGATATTTACACACACACATACACACACACATACATATATGTATATATGTACACCCGCACACTTACGCACGCGTCCCACACACGCATCGCACACACGCTGCGCACACGCACATATATGTAATTGTAAAATAGTGTATATTTATAAAAATAAATGTGTGCCTATATCTTTTATTATCGTTTATTTAATATTAGGTTTGTTCGCTTTTTTGGTGTGTGTGTGTGACAATATATATATATATATATATATATATATATATATATACTTGTACACACACTCATATAGGTGTATATATTTAATATATATATATATATATATATATATATATATATATATATATATATATATATTGTTTTTGATAAAGTCCCTGAGAGGACTAAACGCGTCGGCTAAGCTTGCAATTTATTTCATTAGCCATTACAGAATGAGCTAAATTGTTATACATTGGTTGGATTGTTCTCGTTGCGCTGTCCATGTCCAGCGAGACCCCATCCTGGTCTTATTTACGACTGCTCAGTCATTGCTCGCCCTGTTCCCACTGCGATTAAATCGGTACAATTCCAGAAATTGAACATCCCAACCGTTTGGCACCCACTATCATGCTGCGCTTGAACTTCGATAATTACTTACATCGACTTGCCATTAGCAGCCTAGAAGGTTTTCACACATGACTTAGCCGATGCTGAAGTCTATCTCATATGAATGTCATGCATGTCGTCCAACTCATTCAGAAATATCTAAAGTCTCAGCTGTATACAACCACTCTCTCAGATCAATGATTAAAACTCTGTCCAAGCGAATGAACCTTCGAGATCTTAAAGAAGACCATCCTTCATCAGATGTTACAGGCTGGCGCTACATAATCACGAAGAACTCTACCAAATAACGAACACCACATTCCCTAAAGACTTCCAGAAGCAGTAACAAAACAAAATATATAGAAACATGTATTTGATGAAAAAATAATCATCGAAATGTTAAGTTTCCTCACTAATTTAAAGCAAAAATTAGAAAGGAAATCTTTTCCAATATTAGAAAGAGCGATAACAGTGGACCTTATAAATCTATTTTTTTCTGGAAAAAGGGTTTAAGAAAATTTTTTTTGTAAATTTAAATCGTTCAATGAATATACAGAAATGGCAAACTCGCCATTTTCATTATAATAGGTCTGGGCATTCCATGATATCAAGGTACGGTTTTGCCAACGATCCGTACCATAACGTGTTGTTACTCTGTGACTATTGGCACGTCAGTGTACATTCCGGCCTTCATTCGAACAAAAAATCCTCACTCTAGAACACTAATCGATATGAAGAAAGAAAGTAGAACAAAACAGAGAGAAAAAAGATAAAAGTGAAGAGAGGGGAAAAAAAATTTGGTACGAAATAAAAATCTGGAATTGATTGCTTGTGCCGGCGGGAAAATATTCTTTTGGCGCGAAACAGGAAAATCAAAGGAGAGCAAATACAGTCACTTACGAAAAAGTGTAAAGCGATCTGAAATAACTTACTAAGAATTAAGAATTATCTATCTATATTGCACAGGCTATTCCTGTCCATTCGGCTATCAACCTAGGTCTGTTTTAGGAAATCTGCCTGTATCTCTCTCTATCTATCTATCTATCTATCTATCTATCTATCTATATATATTTATATATAGTGAGATTCGAACCCTGATCTCATGGTCAGAATGCGAACATACTAATCACTCAGCCACGTGTCGATTGGTCAGGAAGGAGACTTCCTGATGTTATCGGACTGGAGGGGCCGGTCCCAGCGTGCGGCATTTTTGGAAAGTGCCTGAAAAACCATACCACGGTTTGACCCAAGCCTTGTAATTGAAATTGGGTAGACGGAACCCTTGAGGGCCGTCGATAGCTGTGCCAGAACGAGGTCACAAATCATCGTGGGCTCTGTAGGTGTTGAATAAACACAAATGGGCCTGAGCAAGCGTCTGCAATAGGGATTGACTAGTCGCACTAGTTGCCGGATATCCTCGAATATGAGTGGCAAGCTATACACACACACACAGACACACACACACACACACACATATATATATATATATATATATATATATATATATATGTGTGTGTGTGTGTGTGTGTGTGTGCAGATTTCATTGAATACGACAGATAAGGTGCTTTTATTTAGTTTTTTATACAATTTCTTATGCGATCTAATATTTTTTTCGGATGATAGATTATATAAAAACTGTCCGAATATTTTTTTAAAAAAAAATATGCATAACACCAGTTGACAATAGCAAAAATAATTAGATTAATTATTTATTACAAAAAATGTAAAACCTTTAACCTTATAGTTAAAATAATAATTCACCTTCTAGAGCAAAATTAAATAGGGCGAATATTATTTAAAAATTTAAATGCCCATTAAGGAACTGTATTCCTGATCAATCAAAATTCGTAAATAATTATATAAGCAACACTACAACATGTTTGACACGTAGACTCACTCTACACCTTTCTGACCATAGCTCAATTAGATTTAAATATTCATGGAGACCTACCGGGCACTATTCGTAACATACTTGTTGACAACGCTAATATAATATTGATGGTTTCAACACTATTACTTGAGAAGACACCAGAAGTGTTGAAATAAAATTGCTATTTTTGTAGTGATTTTATAACATTTCTATGTTATAATCTTCGAATAAATGATATATATATATATATATATATATATATATATATATATATATATATATATATATATATTAATAATTTCATCCTAAAGCAAAGCGGTAATGCCACAAGTACGATAACATTTCTTTGGATTTTCTCAAAAATGAACATCAGGAGAACCAGACAACAATATTCAATGCAAGGACGATTTGTAAATGCGCAAGATGGACTCTGACAAGAAAAAAAAAAACGATTTTTATATTTCCACGTGTCATGACTCTTCCGGATGTCTCAGTTATCTCCCTTTAACTCAACTCTGCCGTAGCCAGGTATTGAACTCACTACTCTTTGTGTCAAGTCACCGGATCCTACCAACTGTTTTATCCACTGGGCCATGTGTACTTGCTTGATGTTTACATTTCCGATTCGCAGTTCACATTTTTTTTTTACTTTTGCTAGCAACCATAATTTCTGTCTTTTTGCAGTTGGTAGTTCGTCCTTTTTTCTCGCTTTCCTTTACCACCTTGTCTTGGAGGTCATATAGTTTTCTGTCTCTATGTAAAATCAACACAACATCATCAGTGTATCTTATATTGTTATAATTGCCCACCCCAAGATAATAAGTCCTGGTTGCATCTTTAGCTACCTTAGGAATGTTTTGCTGTCGAGTTTGAACAAATCTGGAGAGAAGACACATTACGCTCCTATCTATATTTGTGGGGTAACTCTATTCGTTTTCTATCCATATGCAAGTGGTTAGTACCCACTATAAGTTCTGGCTTATTCTAAAATCCTTTCCAAATTGATCGAGCTTTCCTAGTAGTTCAAATAGATCCTTGTGCCGTACCCTGTCAAATGCTTTTTGCGCAATCTATAAAACCTAAGTGCACATCTTTCCGCATTTGTATTGCTCTCTTCGGTATTATTCGAATCATAAATACCACATTTATCGTTCCAGTGTTTTTGTCGTATTTCCGGTCTAATTCTACTTTGCGTTCTATTCATCAGGATTCGGATCATTATTTACATTATTCGGACTATTGTCCTCATCTTTGTCGCCATATTTATTACAACCTTTCGTCCGTTGTACGCTCCGGCCTTCTTCAGGTGGTTGGAATGTCGAACTGAATCCTTTATTTCGCTCACTGGAGCAGACTGTTCTAGTTCCACGTGCCATGTTTAATGGATGTCAATTATCAATTATCTCTTGTTAATTCCCCTCTGAAAGTTCTCCACTGACTTAACCGGATATTGAACTCACACTTTTTTTGGGTCCTGTCACTGGATCTAACTAACGCCTTTATCCACTGTGCCATGAAGAAGGCCGGAGCGTACAACGGCCGAAACGTTGTAATAAGTATGGCGACAAAGATGAGGACAATAGTCCGAATAATGTAAATAACGTACATAATACCTCATCTCAGAAATATAGACAAATATTGAAGGATTCGGATCCTTAGCTTGGCTATGTGACCCATTAGGCCAATTGTTCGATGGTGATAACTTTTGTTTGCACTTGGTTTCTTCTTAATGCCACAAAGGTGGATCAGCTGAGGTACCCCACGTATATTGTCAATGTCGTATATTTTGTTTGTCACTTCTGTGATCTTATCGATGCCGAAATCATCTTAGTATTTCTGTTACGATCCCCCATCTGATCCTGCTGCTTCATCTTGTCCAGTGTTTTCCATAATGGTATCCTGTACTCTCATTAACGGTAAGGATACTTTAAACTCTCTTTTGTGTTAAGAATATATCAAACACTCTTTAATGGAAATAATATATTATTATCTCCTTAATGATATCAATCACTTATACTGTCTTTAATGTTTAGGAATATCTTAAATTCTCTTTAATGGCTCGTTTTATATGGGTTATTTAATGCCGAAATGTAATTTTCTTGGCAACATTAATAAATTCTTTGTCAAAAAATATTGCTGGTAATTCTTTTTAAAATCTATTTTACAAAAAATTTATTGCTGGTAATATTTTACTATAAAAATGTATTTTTATATTTTCATAATGTTTTGTGCCTCTGTTTTGTCCATTTTTATATTTGTCGTACACTTTTCACCTTTGCATAGGCATCGACTGCAGAGAAATTAAGACAGAAAACTGATGTGATAGTGTGTTGCCGCGACATAAATGTTCACCTATGGCTCTTCTTTCTGGGTGAGGCTTAGAACTTTTTGAACGACCCTCGTAATATCTTAACATCTTTCTTAAAGGTAAGAACATCTTAAACCCTCCTTAATGGTTTGAATACAGTAAACAATTTTCTCTTTCTCTTTTATGGCGTCGCCGATAGAATGTTTAAGTCGCTTGGATGAACTAGAATTTGTCGAGACTTGGATCCGGTGTTTTGTAGCCCAGGCTAGGGTTAAAAATCTAAAGACAACCAGGAAAGACGGGGGAGAAAACGAAATTATTGGCGGGTTGTGAAGCAAAAATGGAAATTTCCTTTATGGCATACCTTAAACATTTTACGAAATTGACTACGGGTCACGTGACGTAGAACAACACAACACAACGTATTTCTCTTTTCTGTTTTTATTTTCTTCTTCTTACTGACATTTTGTAAACTACATAGGAAGGCACAAGGCATACTTTATAGGATGTTATACTAATCTGTGAAATTTGGATGACCTACCTTCCTTTAAGATCGGCTTTCGAAATACTGGCTTTTATCTGAACTCAAACACTGACGACAATCACGGGTAGGTACTTTGCAACTCTCTAAGTCCTTATGCAGATTTTATTCTCATTATTACTTCACTTGCCTTTCCCAATAATTCTGCAGTAACCGCCACTGACAATAGCAGAAACAACAACAACAACAACAAAAACAACAACAATAATAGTTATAATAATAGTAGTTGTAGTATTATTATTAGTAGTTACTAGGAGGTAACAGTAATAATAGCAAAGACTCCAGGAAGCAAGAGTATAAACGCCATGATGGGTGGAAAAACGAGAAGAACCTGCGTCTCCAATATAGACGTGACTAATGCATTTAAACAAAGTGAAATGACTTCATGCTGAGAGGAAACCTATGTGAAACCATGGAATCGGATTCTTCGAGACGCAGGAAGGAATAAGAAAAAAAAAACCCAAAGAAACAGAGGAACAATGTTTGGCTCTGATACAAAGAAGAGCATGAAAAATAAAAGAAAAAAATATGAAATATATAGAATCAAAAAGAATGGGAAAAACCATTCAATTCTTTCTCCCTATTCTCATTAATTTTTAATTGAAGAATTAGGGCTTCGCTTTTGCAAGCGATGTAGGGACATTTTCTTTCCTTCGATATCTATTATTATATTTTCTTTTCTTCTGTTTTTTTTTCTCTCTCACTTGACCTCTTTCTTTTTTGTTGTTATTGTAAGACTTCTAATTTGTCTCCTTTTCATTTTTCAGTTACTTTTTTCTTCTCTTTCGTCTATAGCGTCTTCTCACTTTTTTCTGTTAATACTTCCTTTCTCTTTTCGCTTTCTTCTTTCTTTTCATTTGTCTTCTTTCCTCGTTATGCCTTTATTTTGTTTCTCTCGTACGACGTCTAATTCATCCACGCTTTTCACATTTTATCCTTAATCCTTTTAATTCGTCTATTTTTCTCTTGCGTCCAATTTTTCTTCTCTTTCATTACTCTTTTTTCTTTCTATTTATTTTGTTTACTCTTTGTCCTTTTCTACTTTGTATTCCCTCTTTTCTCTTTTTTTTTACTTTTCTTTTTAATATTCATATTAGTTTCCTTCATCTTTCACAGCTTTTATCTTCGTCCCTCCGACTTTCCTAATTCTTCTAGTTGCTCTTGTTGTTGAGGATCTTGTATTTCTTTTTGTTGTTGTTGTTGTTCATGTTGTTGTTCGTTTTGTTCATCTTTTTCTTGTTGCTGTTGTTCAGATTGATGTTCTTGTTGTTGTTCTTCTTCTTATTTCTATTCCCCATATAGTTGTTGCTGTTCTTCATCTTGCTGTTGTTGTTGCTGTTGTTGTTATTCTTTCTCTTTTAGTTGTTGTTCTTGCCCCTCTTGCTCTTCTTCTACTTGTTGTTGTTCTTGTTGTTTCGCTTCTTTATTTTGTTTCTTTTTCTTTTTTTTTTAAGCGTTTCACCCCAAATAAGGCGGGAAGCCACTAGGACGCAAGGGGTTACAGAAGATTTGGAGCAAGATCAGATAGGAGTGATAGAAGAAAGGATGAGAAGGACAGTGGAGAGATCAAGGCAACTGGAGATGTCGATTGACATTACATTTGAATAGCTGGTGATTATAGCTCTCAGGGAAACTGGAATAGGGAAGGGAGTTCCACAGGCGAGAAGTGCGAGACATGAAGCTATTGGAGTAGAAGAGACGGCTACATTTAGTAGTTTCGACAGTGAAAGGGTGAGAGTGGGATGCCAGCCTCGTAGGGCGCTTCTTCTTGTTCTTGTTCTTATTTTTCTTGTTATTCTTGTTGTTGTTGTGCTTCAGTTTTTCTTGTTATTGCTGTTAATGTTGTTGGTGTTATTCGTGTTATTCTTCTTGCTGTTGTTGTTGTTGTTTTGCTCTTGTTGTTGTTGTTTTTCTCGTTATTCTTTGCTCCCTTTGTTGCTGCCCTTCTTCTTCTTCTTCTTCTTCTTCTTCTTCTTCTTCTTCTTCTTCTTCTTCTTCTTCTTCAGCGTTATCATATTCTCGTTTGTTCACGTACTCCAGTAAAATAGATGGTGACGATAGTATTTAGATAATATCGATCCGGCTCCAGCATACTGTTGTCCCACGTGACGTGCTGCGGGAGTATGAAGACACTTAAACACACTCTCTTTCAAATGCGCGAATATCTATCTATCTATCTATCTATCTATCTATCTATCTATCTAAATAAATAAATAAAGAAATAAAGAAGTGTATGTTTTTGATGTAAACTGTTGGTCAACCAAATAACTTCAGAGTTTATGTATTCGGAGATGAAATTCTATCAGCATGTAGAAAATATATAGCATCAACTTCCACATTTCAATATACACTATCTATCTATCTATCTATCTAGGATACATATATTCATTAACTAGAAATTAGGCTGTGCATGAAACTCCGTGTCGTGCTACTGCTTAGGGATAATATGTATATTCATTAATATATATATATATATATATATATATATATATATATATATATATATATATATATATGAAGATAATTAGGAAAACTATTTTGACATGTTTAGCCGATGAAGTCATAAAAAACTTTATGTATTTTTCCTACAGAAATTTTTGTTAACTAATAACAGGCCTAAAAAAACCGACGCTACCTTTTGTGGCACTTTTCGCAAAAAAACGCAGTTCCAACAAAATTTATAAATAATTATATATATATATATATATATATATATATATATATATGTGTGTGTGTGTGTGTGTGTGTGTGTGTGTGTGTGTGTGTGTTTATCTAATTGAATATTTCTCATTGCTATAAATGTTATATTTAGTAAATATACATGTTTGAGCAGATATCTCAACTGTTTTCAAAACAGTGGAATTAATTTCAACTGGCTGATAGAGAGAGAGAGAGAGAGAGATAGAGAGAGAGAGATAGATAGAGAGAGAGAGAGAAAGAGAAGTCTGACTAAAGAAAATGCGTCTACCAACAGGAATGAAAGCATATTTTACACACTTATATATATATATATATATATATATATATATATATATATATATATAGAGAGAGAGAGAGAGAGAGAGAGAAAACAGACAGAGTATTTTAGATTATATACGTACATACATACATATACACACACAGACACACACATATGTATATATATAAATATAAAAGTGAACATTGACGTCAAAACTCAGAGGCGACAGACTTTTTCATGCTAGACGCAATCGTCAGGCCTGCATTTTTCCTATGGAAAAGTTATTAACTAATGAGAGACCTCGGAAAACGACACTACAGTTTGTGCGACTTGTTTTCATGAAGAACGCAGTTCCCTATGCAGTATCTAAATTCATAAATACTGTTGTCTTTATATGGTTTTGATTTCGTCGTCGAATTGTTACTTCTCATAATAAGGTTAGATGTTTTCAATTTTTTTTAATGATAATTAAACCGATATTTTTAGTTTGTTCAACACAACGGATTTACTGGTTTATAAAGAGAATTCATCCGGTTTTATAATTTTGTGTAACTGGTTACGATTAAATGTATCAACACTTTTGTGTGTTTTGTTATTGTTGTTTAGTTTTATCAAACCAAGTCATAAATAAAAGTATTGGTTTGTGAATTTGGTAATATAGTCGTTGTTCAATCCATTTTGGACTTGCATACAATGGAAAACGGACGAGCAATTAACTGAATAGTGCTAAATAAAAATAAGAACTACACGAGATATCCCTAGACATGAGCAGTGAAAAGGGATCAGTTCAGAATTTCCTGTTGTTTACCCAAATCGATATACACCTGAGGAAGGAAGGCGGGAGGGTAGAATGTCCAAAACGTTGTGATAACAACAACAAAGATGAGGATATATATATATATTTTTATGTTTATACATTCTTTTTATAAAAATGTCTTAAAAATAATTGTCGGACTTTGTCCATTTCATAATGTGTGACGTCATTTGTTTACATTTGATACGCCATGAGCAGATATGAATGTACGTGAGAGATTCATGGAAGATTGAAGTTCAAATACAGTATAATTCGACCTTGCTAACCGAACGCGTCTCTGTGGCCAAATCGGTAAAGGCACGTCAAGCTAAATGACGGTTCTGCATAGGATACAGGTTCGAATCCTGTCAAAGGACGAATATTTTCTATGAAAATTTCGCGGACATTCAGGCCGGTAAATGTTGTTTAATACTGTTTATTATAAACAGAGCATTTACTTAAATATTTGTATCTATAAAAGAATGTATAAACTTAAAAATAATTGTCGGATATATATATATATATATATATATATATATATATATATATATATATATATATATATATATATATATAAGTTTGTAAAAATTCATTTGCTATGGTATTGGGGTGAGAAATGAATTAAATCCAATAAGTAAAATAATAATAATAAAGAAATAAAAATTCCCTTGATGCAAGTTATAAAGAAACCGAAAATGATTTCTGGTTACATGTGCGATTTTATCACACACTTCCAGAAAGGATAGAATCTCTCACGTTCCACTTTCCAACGAGATCCTGTTTTCAGCAGCCCTACTCATGAAGTAGAGATTCAGAAATCTCAACTCAGCGCGTGGCTCACTTGAGCTCGACCATCTTTACCCGTTCTTAGCCTTACTTCCCATCAATTATTTCTGAACCAAAAAAAAAAACAGAAATACTCTAGAGACATTTCACTTTGTTTCAATAAAGTAAACATAAAAGAAATAAACGTCCGTAGGTTTTTTTTTCGATCTTCTTTGTTTATATATTGAACACGTACCTTCCCCTAAAACATACAAACAGAACCCACAATCTTGTTAACTTCCACAGACGCTTGCTTGTCTGGGGCGGCTTGCTTGTCTAGAGCGGCTTACTTGTCTGGAGCGGCCTGCTTGTCTGAAGCGCGTCCCTCTTTTTATATAACAGTGGATAATTCTCCTTACTAACTGAAATCAGGTTACTAATAATTCCCAGCAATTTAACGTTATGATCCGAGAAAATAAACAGAAAAAACACACATTTCCCATTGCATATATACAGTAATTTTTAAAATTAAATATTAGTTATTACAATTGTAGTGAACAAAACAAGATCTAGATTTAAAATTCAAATGCTAAGTACTGACTCATTGATTTTGGTAGAAATTAAAAAGACTCGAATTTACAAACTTTGTTTAACACACACGCAAAAGCGAATCCAAAACAAAACTCGTGAAATTTCACACCTTGATGCGAAACGATTCTCGGCCAATAGAAAGGTAGGAAACATTTAAAAACAAAAATTCAAATAATCTTCAATTCTCAGAAACAAATTCTTTTACGGACCTTTTCGCGAGCCGACGCGAAGTTTGTTCATCGTCCAATGGAAAAGCCCGAATCATATCCGGGAGTGAAGTCCCAAATGACCTTTACAAGCCCCACAAACAAAATGAAAGACGAACTTGCCTGTCACCAGAACTTGAAAGAAACGGAGCGCATTAACAAGTTCCGTGACAAATGCCAAGCGATCATTATTATTATCTTTACCTTTCTCCCTCACCTCTTTTATACTTGATAAACGAACGGAACATTTTAAGACTGAACGATTACTTCAAAGACATTCCTACGCTCATACATACATACATACATACATACATACATGCATCCACACATACGTTCCTGCCTACGTGCACAGAAACTCATTCTTGCAAGGACAAATTACGAATATTTTGACGACCTTGTATCAACTAAAATACATTAATTTTATTTGTAAAGACCTTAATTGATTTATATGTATATAAATTTGTTGTTTCACTTTACAATTTAAATTTTCTTGTTTTTTACCCCTTTTATGGTGGGCTATCTAACTAACAAGGCCAAATCAAACTACTCTGTTTCAACACTCATACACTTCACTATAACTGATAACCCACTATACTATAACCGTTATATTTAGTGAACACATGTCTGTGAATAGACATCATTGTTTTAAATAATGAAATTAATGTCTACCGCCCTAGATATCGAAAGGGTCTACTAAAGAGAATGTATCTGCTATCCGATTTCTCCAGTTGTATGACGGATAAATATATAAAGTCACGCTGTGTTTTATAATGCGAAAAAGAGATTTTTCATTTGGAGAAAAAAAAAAAGTTTTGAGCATTGCCCAACGGCATTCGCACTGGTAACTGTCTTCTGGCATAATTCAACAAAGTCAAAATGTCTGCCTGAGGCTGCGTCTGAGATATACGATGAAGACAGTTCTTTAAGAAATTTATTTTGAAAGATTATATCTACATTGCGTCGCTTTCGTCGACGCTGAAAGTGGAATCGGCGAGCTGGAGTTCAAATTCCAGCTAATGCGGTTGCGTTCAATTAAGCACAAATACTCTCGAACCCGTCTCTTCTCTTTGCCAGCTGTTGGTTAGATAGAAGGATAGACTGGACTCTTTAGCCTTCAGTGGAAAAGGCAGCAAGAAACCACTGCTTTAAATCTGTTAGTTGCCTGGCGTTGAACAACTGGCCAGATGATCGGTTTACTGAGATAGAAGGCATCTCTGTTCATGAATGGGACATTATTATGGTCATACGTGTGTTGAGAGTATGTTCTTTTTAATTTTGGAAGATGAGGAAGCCAAAATGATTTGAGAGCGATATATAGATGCATAGGAATACCTTCAATAGGTGATCGTCTGGATCCTCTGGGTTACTTGGCATGAAGTTATTTCCAACTGAGCCATATTTGTAAAGTTATGCAGTGCTGGGGGTACCCTTATCAAACTGCTTGTCATGATGTGAATATTTAACTTCGTATATTTGTACATCAGCGTCACATTCTTTGATGTCCTGCTTTCTCACACAATAATAATAATAATAATAATAATAATAATAATAATAAAGCCCATGCCTTAAAGAAATACAAAAAATTGTACTCACAAGTACAGCTCACACATTACGAAGGGTTTTATCTATTTAAAATGTGTGTGATCTTAGTTTTTTTATTTTTTTTTTTACAAAAACGATCATTGTAACATGAGTGAATCCATTTCTGAACTAAGGTCTTTGCTTGGGACTCGTAAGAAAATGTTCATACAACAGAATTCAAAGATAATAATAATAATAATAATAATAATAATAATAAAGGCCCTGATGTTACACGGCTCTCATCGCTTCTGATCTTAATTGATTGAAGGTGTTAACATGCATATATCTATTTTGTCTTGGTGAATTAAGGTAAGCTAC